CGGGGTGGGAATTCCAATTTGGGAGACGGGTTCGGACGCAGAACCAGGGCCAGCTCAGTTTTCTCAAGGGATGAGTTGATAAACGTGTCACAATCCAGTTGGGGTCCCAACTTCCCAACAAAAAGAACAAGCTAGAGCCCAGCTGCGTCCAGGAGGCCCCTGTGTGGGCCGGCGGGTGTGGCTCAGGGGATGAGCGTCGGCCTAGGAACCAGGAGGTCACACTTCAATTCCCGGTCAGGGCACAGGCCCAGGTTGCGGGCTCGATCCCCAGTGTGGGGCGTGCAGGAGGCAGCCCATCCATGATTCTCTCTCATCACTGATGTTTCCCTCTCCCTCTCCCTCTCCCTTCCTCTCTGACATCAATAATAAGAAAAAAGAAAAGAAAAAGCTAGGAAAAACAGGTTGGTCTCGGGCGCGGCCTCCCTACCTGTCCGGGGCCTGCAGGGTGTCGTCCACGTCCAAGCACATGGCCTTGCACATCTGGGACAGCGCCAGCAGGTCCCGGGAGAAGGGCTCACTGGGGAGGCGCCACCGGTTGGTCGAGCCGGCCATCTGGCGCTCCGGCCGAGCTCGGCGCTTCTTGGAGACAAGAGAGAAAATGGTTTCTCAATCGCACACGCATGCCAGCCCTTCCACACGGCACGGCCGGAAGCCAACCAGGACACGCTCCACTGCGGTCAACGCCCACGTGGCCAGGGTTCCCATGAGCCCTCTGTGCAGGGCGAATCCATTCAGCATCAGTGAGTACGCGGTTCCAGGGATGGGGACCTGGGACGGGAGGTGCTGGGGCTGAGCGTCCGGAGAAGGTGTTCCTTGGCCTGTGGCTCCGAAGACCCCCGAGGCGGCACAGGCGACGCCCCAGGAGCTGCTCTGCGAGTCCTCGCCCCAGCGCGATCCAGGGAGGCCAGGTGGAGGCGGCCGGCCAGCGGCCGTCTGGTTTTTGTAAATTGTGGTAAAATACACAAGACAGAGACCCCACCATTGTGTCCACTTTCCGGTGTCAGTTTAGTGGCCTTCAGTGCGTGACGGTGCTGTCAGCCACCAGCACCCCTAATCAGAACCTTTCATCCCCACAGGAAACCTTGTCCCCCACCCCCTGGCAACCACCAATCTGCTTTCTGCTCCTGCAGGTCTGCTGTCCTAGCTATCAATTTTTTATGTTTTTATTGATTTCAGAGAGGAAGGGAGAGAGAGAGAGAGAGAGAGAGAGAGAAACATCAGTGATGAGAATGAATCATGGATGGGCTGCCTCCTGCACACCCCACACTGGGGATGGAGCCCACAACCCGGGCATGTGCCCTGATCAGAATCGAACCCTGACCTCCTGGTTCCTAGGTCGATGCTCAACCACTGAGTCACGTCGGCCGGGCCTGGGTATTTTTACATAAATACAAGGTGTGGGGTGTGTGTCTGGCTTCGTTCACTCAGCGTAATGTTTTCAGTTCCACCCCCGTGGCAGCATGCGTCCACGTTTACTGCCTCCCGTGCGTGCTGTGGCCGTGGGCGGCCGGTAGCCTCTGAGCCTCCTGGGCCTCCTACGTGGAGCGGGATGATGACCTGACGGTGAGGATGAGGACGTGGTGCCGGTGCTGATGCCAAAATGATAGAATCAGCCCGGCCGCTGGCTCAGGGGCTGAGCATTGACCTGTGAACCAGGAGGTCAGGGTTCGATTCCCGGTCAGGGCACAGGCCCAGGTTGCGGGCTCCATCCCCAGTGAGGGGCGTGCAGGGGGCAGCCGATCCATGATTCTCTCTCATCA